GTTAACGATAGGGGGGGAAAAAAAAAAAGGCCAACTTACCCTGCCACACACACACATCCCCTCCTAACAAACAGTTTTGTCCTTTAACTCCAGGGTATGGGGTCAGGAAACAGCAGCCCTATCCCCTGCCCCAAAGGCCATGCAGGCTGCTTTTGGCAGGTTACCAGCTTTCCATTTTCTATACATGGTTGTGTTCTTCAGAGGTGAGTGTCGGTGAATGTGGTGTGCTCCTTGGTGACTGTGCTGAAGCCTTTGATGACGTTGGCAAGATCTTCTTCATCTACATACTGTTGGGAGGGGGGGGAAGCATGTAAGCCAAAGCTGTACCAGACTGAAAGAGATTCTTTCATTTCTCTTTTCTCTCACCCAAAATAATAGATAAATAAGTGCATTTCTACCTCTCTACCTGTATTCCCATTCCTCCCAGTATGAGGTAAGAACTTACTTAAAGCATTCAAGCACCTGAATCCAAAACAACTAGATTTTCATGGTAATAAGTTAAAAATCAATTACTATATATATCTGACAAATGGTAAATAAAGCAGTGTTTGTTACAATGTGATGGGGAACTTGGAGAGATGATTAAAAAAAATACGTGTTTACAGGTTTTTGTATAACAATCACGTCACCCATGATTTAGGTAACATTTTGTTCTTCAAGCTTCTAAAAGGAGGACCTGAGCTTCTTCCAACTGCACTCATGTTAATGCACTGAGCCACAGAAAGAGTTGAAAGCAGGAGAGAAATAAACTGTCTGTTTCCATAGCAAAAAGAGATCACCCCAAGTGTTACTGCAGCTACGTGTCTTGGGCCACTTCAACCCTTCAGTACATTAATTTGCAAGATGGACAAAGAGGTGAGCAAAACTTGCTGATAGTCCCAAGCTACTGAGTATAATAAAGGTAAGAACTGAGTGAAAAGCATTGCAGGAGGTGTTTGCAAGAGAGTAGTTGAGGAACACAGATGCAGAGACAGTTAGGTTCAGGGAAATGTACAGCAATGCACAGAGGGCGGACAGAAGAGCCAGGCTTTGTGTGTGTGTGTATATATATAATATATATATATATCAGCTGATTTTACAAAGCAGCTGAGCTCATGCTGTCAGGGTTGTTTGCTACCAAAAGTGAGGGGAAGTTTTTGTTCTCCTGCTCCTACCACTTCTGAATCTCATCGGACTATTCTGTAAACCAGTTCTAACATACTAACATCCAGCATGGGGGTGGGGGGGGGATTTGCAAGCTAGAAATTATGGTGTTAGCACAAGATAAGCAGAGAGCAAGAGCTTCCTCTTAGCAGTGGGAAGCTGTTCTTTTGGCTACTGAGACCATATAGAGGTGCAGCCTGGCTGGGCTGTTAGTCCCCAAGGAATTAAAGTGTGAGGTTGTGATAGCTCTGAGAAAATAACTGGAGGCTGAGCCACAATACCACTGACTGGGGAAGCCCGTGAGCTGCGGATCAGGGCAGGCTGGAAGGTTAACCTGTACCTGTAGGGGTTTTGCCTAGAGCTAAGTATCAGTATCTTAACGGTTGGACTTGATGATGATCTTAAAGGTCTTTTCCAACCTAAATGATTCTATGATTCTTAAGCCTCATCAGCTTCCCTGGTCCTGCTGTTATGGTCTAAGCAGGTATGGCAGCCACGGTAGCAACACCCCCGTACTGTGCCATGCCTATACATTCCAGCCCTTGTAGCCGTTTGCTGTACTGAAGGTGAAAGGCCAAGGAAGCTGTCTGGATTTATGTGCCAGACCATCGCTCTCCAGTTCACTTTGCATTTTGGACAAGATCCATTCGATGATAAGTGCACACTCCATCTAACTGTTACAACCTCACATGCCCTTCATCCCCACCTGTCCACCTTTTTAGGAACCTTATCAGTCAACTTTTTCTAGGAACCCCTGAACCTCTTCCCACACATTTGCTCAGGAAAGGGTAGAAGCCAGGGAGGAGGAGGGAGGTAAAAAAGGCTGTTTCCTGGTGACAAAGAGGGAGGGAAGTTACCGCTGTCCTTGGCGTGAGAATCATAACTTCTTGGATCTGTGTGTTCAGGTCCATGTTAGTGATACTGGCTGATTCTGTCCTCCCCTATACAAAAAAGACATACTCTACCTGCTCTCCCCCCCCCCCCCCCGCC